TCTCCGTGGTGCCCAGCAACAGGACAAGAGGCAATGGGCAGAAACTGAACCACAGGCAGTTCCATCTGAACCTGAGAAAAAACTTCTTCACTGTGAGGGTGACAGAGCACTGGAAAGGGTTGCCCAGAGAGGTAGTGGAGTCTCCTTCGCTGGAGATATTCAAAAGCCGTCTGGATGTGATCCTGGGCAATATGCTCTAGGTGACCCTGCTTGAGCAGGGAGGTTGGAGTAGATGATCTCCAGACGTCCCTTCCAACCTAAACCATTCTGTGATTCTGTGTTTCAGACCAGCTTCTGTTGTGCTACTGGTATGCCTTGCTAGAATGGATATATGTCTTTGTAACAGAGTCTTTAACAATTTTGTTGAAACTTAACTTAATTATCACTAAAAGAAGGGGAAATGGGAAAGTAGTGGTAGGAAAGCCCCTCAAGCTACTTCCCTCTCTCCTGTATCAAAGGGGAAGAGGAACATCACACCAGCCTTCCGCAAGGCTATCACCTAGAGCAACAATTTTAGTCACCAGGATCTTGTGTTACAGCTAGAGCTTGTTTAGACTTTACTTTCACGTGGAAGAGACGGTGCTTTGACTTCATAAAAGTTAGACAGATTTACCAGCATGGGAAGCCTGGACTTTGGCCACAAAATAGGAAGAAATCCACATGGGAAGAAAATTACATTTGGCAAAAGCGCAAGCTAAATTCTTCTTTTAGAGACACACAGGCAATGACAGAACAGTTTGCTTCTTTGGTCACTGCAGATTGACCATTTACTGTGAAGTGAAACAAAAAGCACCACCATCATTTATCCAGCTGGAATGTTGGAAACAGAGGCTTTGCTACTCAGAGCAGATTCTCTGCACTGACAGCCCAAAGTGGTGGAAGAAGCCACTCTAGAGGCTGAAATAAGGCTTACCTGAAGATGATGTTGCTGTGTGAACTGATGTTTTTCCCTCCATACATAGAAAGAATCCAAGAGGGGCGAGGCCTCACTCCCCACAGTCTGAAACACTCCTCTGAAAGTGCATCAAAGTCCCACTTCTGAGGCTCAAACATGTCATTGACACCATCTGTGCACATGGGCATCACCATCTCAGTGCAAGCCTGAAAGAAAGAGCAAGGCAACAAGATGTATTCACAGGAGACTGTACGATAACAGAGTGCAGTACTTAAATGAAAAAGCTCAGACAGGATTCAATCAGTAATTACCAAACGATCAGCATACAGATAAAGCAAAAGCTTCATTTTTTCAGATAAAAGCCGTTCCCTGACCTTAATGGTAACAGCTAGAAAAGGAGGAAAAAAAATTATAGCCTAGAGGCCTCACATTGCCCACCAGGGCAACTAATCAAGCTCACATCCGTTCTTGCTTGCCTCCTTCCCAAATGCTTTCAGAAGCAGGCAGGAAACAAGCTTCAGGCAAATAACAAAAGACAACGTGGACCTTCTGAGGAAGCTGTTTCTCTTCTGTGCATTGCCTTCCCCACAGCTACAACCATACTTGCCTCATGTTCACATTTTTCCTCATTAGATAAGTTGTTTTATTATAGTAGTCATTTTTCCTGTATGTTTTCCACAGGATAAAAGTTAGTAGCAAAAATCAATAGGTAATCCTATTTTCTACAATGAGAGGATTGCATAACGTTTATCATTACTCTTATAAACAATCTTGAAGTGTTCAAGTTTTAAGCAAAGAAAATACACAGCTTGCAATTGTTTCGTGAACATCTAACAGCATGAACTATCCATGAAATTGTCTATGAAAACTGACCACAACAACATTCAGTTTCAGTTCGAAATCCAGCCTGATTTTGAAGGCCTGGGTTACGTGCAGCCCAACCTGTTGAATTATAGCTGGCTCAACATGTTGACAGTAAAATGACTTGACAATTCCCACGAGCTCTGGCACAAAAAACTCACTGAATTGAATTTAGGAAAGATAGAGTGTACCTGATAGTACCAACCCATCTGGCCCAGGTTCTTTGTTGCAGTCTGAGACAAGTCAAAGCATGAGGCTTCTCCTGAGTAGTTGTAGTAGACATTTACTGCCTGGAAGACATTCTGTAGCAACGGTTTGTCCGGAAGACTGGGATCCGTCATGAACTTGCAGACTACCTATTACGAAGAGGGAAAACTGGAATCTGAATCTGCAAGAGATACAGATTAAAACACTATACTTGATGGGATATCAGTCTCTTTTTAGACCAATCAGACCACTTCCAGACAACATTTTTCTATACCCTAAGCATTATCATAAATACAAATTACAGTATTCCACTTTGCAGTGCATTCTACTATGAAGAATCTGAAACTTTATTTCCAGATTTAGAGTGCAAAGAGTGCAACCTTAATATTCCATTAACTAAGCTTTTCAACCCAATTCCTGTTCTTTAAAATAGAGGATGCTTAATAGAAAACATTTAGCTTTCCTGGGATGAAAGCTATTACATGTAAATATATGACAGTGAAGCTCCAGGGCCAAATTGGTGTTCTCCACAACTCGCTATAGTTTTTTTTTTTTTTTTTTGTAAGTGCTATTATATAGGAGCATTACAATATTTTTGCTTCTTCATGTTTGGAAGATACAAGGTGAGAAATTGTTTTGTTGCTGAAGAACTAAGAGCACCCTTAGGTAAAATGAATTTTAGAATTTTAACTGGGGACAGATCATACTAGAGTGGAAAAAACAGAAAACCCAGAAACCACTGCACTGGAAAGATTTTTCACCTCACAAAATGTAAAAAAGACAGCATCCTTTCTAGCAGGGCTTCCTCCTTACCCCTACTCCACGAGAGTTTGGGCCAACAAAAGGACAACGAAGAGCAAAGGCTACGTGTCTGAGCTCCTAGCCCATCAGCAGAATCCAAAATTATTCCTGCAAGGAGCAAAGGATGCACCGCAGCTCTAGAGCTGTTCAAGTACAGGGGCATATGCACACACGGGTGACTTACAGGATTGTTACTGGTTATTAACAGATCATCACAGGAAATTAAGTAGCAAATTGCACATCTTCCAAGAAATGAACTTACTATCCATCTCTCCCCCATTTAATCTTTTCCCTCTTTTTTATTGTAGGAGGTCAGGAACTGATCCTCCACTTCTTCCCGACAAGGCCAACGCACAACTTTCATGTTTTGCCATCCCAAGTGGGTTTCGTGGTTTGGCTCACTCAGCCATCTGTTCTAGACTCAGTAATGGAAAGCTCACTCACTCATGCAAATAAAATACACACTGCAGACAGATAATAGTACAGAGGGCTGCAGATAGCCCTGTATCTGAAACTCAGATGGTGCAGTGAAGCAGAGATCAATACTTCTGAGAGAGTTCAGGCAGCCAACATTAGAGAACAGATTAAGCGAAATATATTCAGCTACTCCAAGTCACTGTTCCTTTTTTCACCCTCAGTCAGGTTATAGGTCCTGTTTCAGAGAAAGTACCTGCGCTGCTTATATCACTCAGATTTCATACATTAGCATTGTCCAGAAAAGCAGAAGCCTTTTCTATTTTAGGTTTTACTGTGTTATATCTCAAACAGAAAAAGAGTGACTGGTGGTGAAGGTGAGTACATTTCTTGTGTTGCATTAGGTTGATAAGAAAACAGAAATTATCTGAAGGTGTTTATACCGTCCTCTGCAGACGGACACACAGGACAGATGAATGTCCATCCCCTCCTCCATTAGCCAGCTCTAATCAAGGGGAATTCAGATTCTTCATTTTATTTGTAACAACTACAATTTAATAGCAAAAATAAGTGCCATTTCATCTGTCTCACCTGCCATACACAGGAACCCAAAGACATGCAAGAAAAATTCAGTCAGGGACTAACAAGAACAAAAAAACTCCAAGAAAACAGAAATACTGGAGAAAGCACTACAGATAAACAAAGCCGCACAAATGAAGGTTTATAGGTGTGAAAAGTTGGTTCTGCTTTGAGATGTGGCCCTGAAAGGAATATGCTTGTGGGGATCCATATTTCTTCTCTCATTAGTTTTCCCATATCAAAAAGGACCTAGGTCAGAAACAGTTTCTTTGATTGCAAGCTCTGCCAGCTGAGCTTGGCACCAGAATCTCTAATGGCATATGCTTTTTTTTGTGCAGTATTGCTCCTTGTGAGTAATTCTGCAGGCCAGATGAGATTTTTCAGTCATCCCCGCCACTTTTCTTTCTTTGGGCTCTTGATGCAGTCTATTAGCCCTACAAACAGCAGTTGGTCAGCAAACCAGCTGATGCTTTAGAAGGTATTGCCTCTGTTCTCCTTTTTCAACTATGCCGGCTTTACAGAATTGAAAATCAAGGAAAAAGGTGCATGCTAGGAGAGAAGAGGAAAATTAGTTAAACTTCTTCAGCAGTAAAACCAAGCAGAAAGGACGGACTTCAACAGCCCAAGCTGAAATCAGTTCTAGAGGATATAGGAGCTCAGTTACCTGTATAGGCCAAGCAGGCAAAGGCTGTAAAAAATCAGCTTTGTAGGGATAGTTCACCATAGCCAAGTTTACCCATGTTTCACTCAGCCAGCTTTTCAAGATAGCAGCATCCTGAAGATTTTTTAATGGGCTGCACAAGTGAAATGTGCTGGAAAGCCACTGTAAACCTGCATCTTTAAAAAAGATACAGCAGAATAAACGTTTAATGAATCTGTGTCAATCACATACAGACCAGCTGTATTGCTGTTAAAAAATATATATTTTCCCTTAGCATAACTCATCTAGTGAAATTATTTCATATAGTCACAAGCACAGCAGACCTAAATTTAACCAGCATCTATTTCAATGAAGGGAAATACCCATATGCTGCTGTGTGCAGATTGCATGTAACAGTTAAGATTCAACACTCTCTGTATGTAAGATAACATTATCTTAAAAACAAAAAGCACCTCAGAGTTGCAAGACATTTGGCATTTTTTGATAGGAAGTAACGTCAGGACACCTTTCGTTTGAAGAAAGAAAAACATCAAACCAGTTACTTCAAAATGCAAGGCCTTTTGTTAGATCTCCCAACAGTTTGCTTGTTTTTTCTTCCATTATTTTATCTGATGTAGAATTCCTCTAGTTCAGCTTCCCATACTAACCAGCTAACTGACGATACTAGGCTTTCCATTGCAGGATTCTGAACTGAAGTAGCAAGAGAAGTTTTTGTTTCGTTTATTTCTTTTGTTTTTTTAATTCCTGTGCTATACAGTGAACCCAGCTAATAAATTCACCCAAGCACCAAAACCGTAAGGATTGTAGTGATTTTCTCTTCCTGATTGCTTCCGTTTGCATTTAAGCTACTGTTTAGAATAAAGACAGCATTCATTCTCCTTTGCCAGAAGGGAATGTTAGCCTTGAAATTCTGATCTGAAGTAAGCTTATATCTGATATGATATAAGCCAGGTCCAGGCTTGGACCTGGATTCTGAATCACACTAGATATGAATGAAGCATCTGATCCAACAAAACAGACTGATTTAAAAAATAACACTGAGCCGATGTGACAGTTTGGTAGGACTAAGAATATACTCGGGGCAGAGAGGGAGAGAAATCTATCTATCTATCCATATGTATGTGTATATATATACACACATGTGCAGGCCATAATGCAAGCTCTCTGATTTTATGAGGTCATAATATAATCCTAAACATAATATAATCCTAAACATCCTTTGAAAAAAAATATTGCTGAGGTCTTACCTGTTGAGGAAAGATGGTTAATGGCATTCCAGGAATTTCGGATGCTTTCTGAGCAGCCCTTCCCACTCTTTTTGAAATCATTAGTCACTATACTGAAGTAAGTGCCACAAGGAACCAAATTACCAAACTGCCAGATTGGGGCAGAGGCTGCCAGAGCTCTGCAAATGGACATACAGAGGAGATTGTTTGGTGAAACACATGCATCCTGAACCTCTGCAAAGTGATCTTCTCTGCTCTGGGCAATACTCTCCCCACAGCCACTATCTAAGTAGCATTTATAATTCAGCTCAGACACTGACCCCTAGCTGAACTAACCATAATGTTGCAAAACTATTCCACAGGTGTGCATGCAAAGGCTATTGAAGATTGCGAGTCTTAGATGCTAACACAAAAAACGTCATTTTATACGTAAAGTAGAAATTCAGAGTTTGCTTACTTTATATTTCACTCTCATCCAGCATCTAGGGCTTTCACACTAGGCCTTGAACAAACGCAACTGAAGTGAGAGCTCCTGCCCATGAGAACCTACTCGCTAGCAGACAAGGGTGCTATTCTTGTTTTCCAGAGTGGACCTGAGCTTTCAAGAGATTAAAGGCCTGCCTCAAGTCACCAGGAAATCTGTTACAGAACTAAGAGTTCAACAGACTCTTGAGTCTGGTGTAACAAAAACGTTTTGCAATGATATTGAATACAGTCCCATAGAATAGCAAGGGGGTAATGGAGTAGGGGAGGTGGAAATCAAAAGAAAGTAAAGAAGTCCCTATGAACATCGGCTTTGTAAGTGACTGTTCTGTAACAAAAACGTTTTGCAATGATATTGAATACAGTCCCATAGAATAGCAAGGGGGTAATGGAGTAGGGGAGGTGGAAATCAAAAGAAAGTAAAGAAGTCCCTATGAACATCGGCTTTGTAAGTGACTGTTCTTATAAAAAAAAAAAAAAAAAAAAATGCAAATACACACCAGTCAGTACTTGCTGACCTACAGTTGTCTTTGAATTTGGGAAGAGGCCGTTTATTCCTTATAAAGTGACTTAACTCCTCCTCCCAAAGGTGAAAAATTCAAGCTAGCTTGAATTATGGTACTTGTCCCAGTGCCGTAATATTTATAGCACTGAGGTTACAAATGCCCAGAATAATGACTGCTCTCTGTTCAAGCAGGACAAGCACACTCACCCAACTACCACGTGGGGGTACTTCATCCTAAACCAGGCCGCAAGCATTCCTCCATAAGAGCCCCCAATAGCGATGACAGGACTATAACGGGCTCCTACAATGTTCTCCTTTAAGTACTCAATCAGTACCGCAAAGTCTGCCAGAGCTTGTTCTGATGTCAGGTAATTCAGATGCTCAGAATCCTGAGGCAAAGAAAACAGGTTACATGCAACGCAGGAAAGACTTCCTGTAGGAGCTAGTGAGTTCTAAATCTGTGTCTGATAACAAATGGAATATTCTGTGGGGGTGTTTCTTGAAATGCTATAAAATACCAGTTATTTTTTAAAAATTCTAGAATTAAGAGTTAAAAATTTAGATAGTCATATGCTTCCAGCACATTTAAGTCTTACTCATCTTACTCAGGCAAGCAGTCATTGCACTGGCAAGAATTACAATAAGCAGATTTATTTTAGTAGAGATCACATCCAAAGAGGAAAAGAAATAAGATACTTACACTAAAAGACTCATTTCCAAAGGGCAAAGATTCTCCATAATATCTATGTTCAGCAAATACTAACATGGCATTAAGTTCTTCAGCCACATCCCACATAAAACCCTGGTAAGAGGAAAAAGGACAATTAAACAAGTTCAAAGTGAATTAGTTCGAAAGTTCTACCTTCGGTCTAGTTTAACTGAACATACATTCTTTGATTAGGAAGATATCACTAACAAAATACAACTAGAAAGACAGAGTGCAATTCTTTTTTAAGGTATCACTGAAATAAGAAAATACACAAGGCAGATATCCACCAGGAGACATGCAAAGGTACATGTATAAAGAAAAACGCAGCAAAACATTTAGCAGCATTGTTTTGTGAGGGTACCCTCAGACAATCCTGCCAAAACTCTTATGGCACAGCCTTAACTCACAGGAAAGACAGAAAAAAAAAATCAAAAAAATCCCACAAACAAACAAAAACTCTACAGGAGAAATGTGCACATCTGAGTTAGGACTGCACAACAGATAACACAAAATTTATTTGACAATAAGTAATAATCGATAGCACTGCGATAGACTTCTTTTCGACTAATTAAATAACTATGACAGCTTGTTATTATTCTTCCACAGCAGCTTGGTACCACCCTGCTTAGAGAACAGGCAAAGGCAGAGATCTTCTGCTGGCACAATAAAGCGTGTAAGCATTCCTTGGTCACTTCAAGCCTAGCACATGCCACCTTCTGTTGCATCACTGGACTTCGTACTGAAGAGGCTGAAGAATGCCCACACGCTCCTTTTTGCATCTGTGACCGTCAGGGAAATAACACTTTCATCTGTTTTGTGAGAGAGAAAGCATCTATCTCAGGTTTCCAGCCACCGTCATTTCACTTCCGTCTCCCTTGATGTTTTTAGTTCTCCACAAGACCTCCCATTTTATTTTGGGCCATTCTGAAGTAACAAGATCAATGTAATTTGGTCCAAATCTTTGCATCCTAAGCTTGAGGCATTCAACCACCACAGTATGGCTTTCTTCACAACCCAAAGAAGTTAATACAAATGCTTCCCTTTGATTTCTATGGGCTTTGAATACGACCCTGAACCCCCTATAACCTTCCCTGTGCTCTCTTTCAGCTTACTCCTCCGTCTGTAATCATCATAACCACTATTGCAAATTTTCACTTTAAATGATATTCTGGTGCTGTCTCCTTGCTCTTCCATATTTTTCAGTAAACCACTACTGAAAAACAAGAACTGTAATTCAGCAAGAATTTGTTTTATACACACTGTGTTATTGCAGAACCAGGTGATGTCTCCTTCATTGCCGGTATAAAATAGTATTGGTCCATTGTCTTTCTTCCAGTGTTGATCTGCTATTAGATACCGCTGCTGGAATGTAAGATTTTCATCAAATCCGAAGTGATCGATCTGTCAGAGCAAGAAATAGCAACATCTTCAGAAAGCTAAAACAGATCATGCGGTGAACTTCAAGTGGTGGCGGTCACTTTACAGAGGAAAACTGAAATGAAAAGTTTTACTAAGATCAAAAAATATAAAACTAAATTCATTTATATTCTTGGATTCCCAGTGCATCCAAATCTGTTTTCTTCTGCATTATGAAAGGAAAACAACCACAATTATACATCTATACTTTAAAGGAGAAATGCGCTTTCAAGTACAAGATAGACATACACCCTTTCTACAGTATTACACAAGATGCAGATATTCTAAATGTGTTCAGGAAAGTAGACAAACCTGCTGAGGGAGCACACGGTACCTGATGTGAGACCGTACCAATGAGTAAAGAGAGTCAATGTCCTCTAACATTTTTAGTCTTAGGAAAATTCCTGACTAAACTTAGCATTTATTTTAAAAATCAAACAAAACAAAACACAAACAAACTTCTCCTCTCTCCATTTTGGCATAAAGTTGAAATTTCAACAGATTCATGTCAGAATACTAGTTTTTTTCTCTTCAATTCTTAGGGGGGGGGGAAAAAAAGAACTAATTATCTGCCGTTCTTGTGTTATTGACAGATTTTGCAGATAGTTTGGTCAAGCACTTCTCCTCTCCCAGCAATTTTCATTAGTTCACACACTCTCTAGAATCCCCCCTCTTTCCACCTCCCTACCGCTTTTAGAAGTAGTCTAAGCCTTTACAAACCATTAAAGAGCATAAACCCCACAGTGTTAGCTTTATTGCCTCATTAGAAATGCATTTTTAATTCCTAAGGTCCACTTTTCAGCTTTCATCATATTGCTTTGTATGTGGTATCGCCCTTGACCCTTCTCCAGCTGTTCATATATACTGGAAAGTTAAGCAAAATTGGTTTTACATTGCAGCTTCCTGCATGGGCACACTCTTATTTGAGAGCCAAAACATCCACACACATTTTTCACTAAAAAAGCTATTCCAGAAGAGCTATGCTTGTTAATTTTCACGTATTCCCAAATCCCAAAGCATCACTACTTTTACTCATTAGTTGAAGATGACCTATAATTTCCCACTTTTAATTTCCATCCTCAAAAATCATCATCTTTCCCATCCATACTGTTTTGCCCTGGCTGAATCCACCTGACTGCACGTCAGGGCTGCTGGCGGCAAGAGCCTGACATCTGCTGGCTTGAACATCTCCGCTCATCCATCTGCATTTTCGCCAAACACTGCCAAGTCCCTCAGCTGCCCTGGGAACCAGCTATTCAAATTTCCTCTGTTTTGAGAGCATCTGTAGGTTAATGCTTAAAAAGAAGCAAACCATATCAAATCCAAGCACTTAGTGAACTAGCTGCTAGGAAAATTTCTCCAGCTCAGGAAAGGCAGCCTGAATCCTGACCTGCAGAATTCAGCTGCTCTGCACCACACATCTGTGCCTGCTTTGGGCCAAAGAAAGCGTAGGAACTTATCTAAGATATACACTGCTGCAAACTTTTTCCAGACTGTCTCAAAGCTTACCCACTCTTGGATCTAAAGACAGACTTAATCAGACTGAACTGAGGAGACAGGTGTGTGTTGCAGCTCACTGCTATCTGAATAAGCAGAAACAGGTGAAGGTCTGTGCGCTATCCTGACATTCATAGAAGAGACAAGGTCGTCATCCTGAGTAAGCTAGCGTCATTATTTCCAAAGCTAACTAAAAGTATTTCATGCATGTTCTACATTTTTGCTCAGTGGGACAATTTACTACTTGCTCATAAGCTCACGACAATGCTACTGTGCACATACTCGGAGGCTTTTTCACCGAATTCAGATCTTGACAACATACGCTGGGTTGATTTTATATTAATAACTACCTTGGTGTTTTTTCATTTGCACAGCCATTATTAGTTTTAGTTTCACAGTTTACATTAATCATAATAAAGTGTGATTCCCAGCAAGGTAGGATAAGCTCAGCAACTGAAAAATCTTTGGTCATAAGACTTTGGGACAACTAAAGAAAGATTAGATGTATATATTAGAGCACATCTAATAAGAACTAAAATGCAGTTTAATAAACTCCCACACCACTAGAAAGCACACCTAATGCATCTAGGTGTTCCACGTCTATTTGTAACATGGAGAAGTATCTTCTTCTATGTACCCTTTCTGGCTAGGCTGCCAGCCAGAGATGGCAAAATAAACAGAAACAAAAAACAAAAAAACACACCCAATCTAGGCTTGTGTGTCTTGTCTGCTTCATGTGGAAGGATCTAAAATTAAACATCTAACCTGAAAACTTGATTCTGCTTCCTTCGTATCTGAAGCCAGAGCTCTCCCTACAGAAGTAGTCACCCTTCCAGGCCTATAAAGCTGGGTACCTAAATCTTCACAGTGCAGACAGCTTAAAATGAAGTAGATAAAAAACGGGGAAATCACAGTAGGTCAATGCATAAGCACTGTTTTGATATCAGGCTGAGGTTATTCAATGGGGTATTGTGCAGACCAGATTCTAAAGCCCATCTTACTGTACCATTTCCCATGAAATTAGAAAATCAGGATAGTATAATTCAGGTACACAATATTTTTTTCCCTGAATCATGGCTTCTCTTTTTACATATTTGATTTACTAGTTTTCTTCTGCTATGGTCTGTCTATTCCCACTAAATAGAAAAGATCAAAATCCCAATGTTCCAGTGAGTTTGTCTCTCAGTAACAACTGGGAGTAAAGGACAGGAGTCTAAGCTTTCCTTTGTCAGTAAAGCTGATAAAGTTGACTGAAGTGGTATTATTCCTCATCTTGATTATAGGAGACACGATGCAGGCTCACTCTTTGCCATCAGTCACTTCTTTCTTCTCTCCCATTCCTCCCTCAAACTGTAAAATGTGCAGAGTCTCTTGCAGCTAAACTGCCTCTGTTCATCTTATTCATAGCACAAACCATGGACACATAAAAGAAAAATAACTGAGACCCAAGTCCAAACTTCCTTCTCACAAAAAAAAAAAAAAAAAACACCACACACAAGAACCTCTGTTACAAGAACAGAAGAATAAGAACTTTTTCATTGCTAGATGATGCAGTTCCTTATCCTGTAGCAACTTGTCTTTGCAAAGGTAAGACACATAACATGATTAGAAAATAAAAACCTAATGTTTGTAAAGCACAGAGAGAGAAAGATGTCCTAAGTATCAATTACCGACAAGAAATCCCAAGAACTTCGCTATTAGAGGATCACCACGCAGTTTGCAAGTGTCACAAGGAATATCTCTTCATAAAAGCGAGGACTGTTTGAAACTGTGCGAAGACAGAGTGAAGTACAAGAACCAATATAAAATTGTAAAGTGAAACCTTTTGATACAAAGGGAAAGCCGTAGTCCAAGAACAGCAGATGGAGCTGTCATCTAGCCAAATTGCACTGCAGGAACCCACACCGCTCCCCCAGGGAAGCTACCTGTTCTCATTTAACAAGTGGTTTCTTTGTTACAGAATGGATACAAAAACAGGTAAATGCCATACTGTGTTGAACTACATTTTACAACTCAAATCACTCAGATTTTTTTTTAAATTAGATTTTATTAAGAAGTTGAACCAGAAGATTTCTTTTCCACTCTTATGTAAAAGCAATAAGACAAGAACATCTGCTTTTGCAAACAAACCAACTAATAAGACAGAATAGCCTATAAGAGCAAAAGAAGAAAACAGTTTGTTACACATTACAATACCATAAGTGCTAGCTAAGAGTAACACAAGTAAAAGCATATTAACATATATCAGGCTTTTCATAATTACAGTTATTGCCAGGATGAGATTACAGGTCAATAGCAAATGCAAGCTCCTGAGCCACCTAATTTAACTTTGAAGTTGGCCTTTGAGTGGGAGGTTAGACCAGATTACATGCAGGGGTCCCTTCCAAATTGTCGTATTCTAAGATTAATCTAAAGCACTTCTACAGCCCACAATTTTTTAAGCTTCGTAAACAGCGCTACCTGGTAAATTGGTTAGAAACAAGAAAACAGTCATCATCAGCAATACAAGCCATACTCTCAGAACTACAGTAGCATTTTAGAATGAACCTATGACGCACACGCAACAGTAGTTCTGATCCGGATTCAGTCATTCTTAACTCCAGTGGTATCATCCTAAGAGTGAGGATAAATGCAGGATAAGAGGGGGTACTGGAAGTAAGTTATAAATAAGTTTAAGGCAAACTTTTCTAAACTGAAGTGGGCAGGATGAGAATAGTTTGGGGCTGCAGCCCTAACACAAAGAAAGCAAGCAACAAACTTCATTCCATGTACAAAAAAAAAAAAAAAACTTTATGATCCTTCTTTTATCTTTATGATCCTTCTTTTATTAAGAAAAGGAGTCATCTTCTCCTTTTGCGTATAGCTTTGACCCAAAAGCCTCACAGAGCATTTGGGGAAAATACCTACGTATAAACAACAGACTGCTCGGGAAGCAGCCAGCTCCAGATGAAAGACTGCAGCCACTTAAAGCGCTGCCATAGCTGCTGAGAACTGCATGCACTAAACTTGATTAAAAACACAGGTAGGCAGCACAAGTTATTTTATCCAAGAGGCTGATAACAGCTTCAGACCCAAGGTTCAAGTCAGCAGCTTTGCTCCTCCAGCTCAGAGGAACTTTCTACTATGAAGTGCAGCTTATCTGCTCTGGATGAGGAGCTCTCTCCAGACTGCTCCCCTAAGCAAGCTCCCATTGGAAGGGAGGATCACAGTCTACCTCACTGCCTTCCTCTCTAAAAAACAAGGGATATTTCTTTGACTTTACCTTATATGTACAAGTGTGTCATGTATTATGCTGTCAATGATAATTTGCCTCTGTGGGTTTTTTGTGCGGTTTTTTGTTTTGTTTTAAATGGACTTCCCAAACTAGCTGCTCTGCTACACAGTTCTCCCTTGGGGGGCAGATGAAAAAATAAATGCACAACAGATGTTAATGTACAGATGTTAGTCTGCTTAATATACTCCTGGAAGTATTCAGAAATTACGGGAATGAGAGAAGTATAAAGACAAAACAGGATAAGGGGGCTAAAAAAGCACTTCCTCCTCAGCAGCACCCTAAGATCATTAATGATCACAGAGTCAGGACAGCTAAGCTAAGCTTCCTCCAAAGGAGATTACACTTCATAGGGTAGCTTTTAACAAAAAGCTGCGGTAAGCCTGCCTGTGTGTACACGGTTTTTTTGTTTGTTTGTTTGTTTTTAAATACTCTCTAGTTTCTGGTAAGATTGCAAGCTTCTGAAAGCCTCTCTGTGAGATCTTGTATTTCAGTTCTCTTAATAGCTTTATTTTCACAAGCTTGCATATTCTGTTTGAAATTGAGTCACTTAATTTTTGTATCAGTGAGAAGCCAGAGGATTTAAAGAGGTTTCCAGCCTGTAAGTGTTCATGGT